AGATTGGCAACACAGATTGGCCACAGACAAATCTGCTTAGGCCTTCCCTGAACATGGGCGGTTGTTACAGAGACTAATGCACCTCTCATGGCACCAAGGTAAGTTCCCCCTAACACCAACCTGCAGCTTCTCGCTGAGCTTGAAGCTGTGTGGATTCCCCAGTGGGAGATTCACATCATCCTAGGATTGCCACTGAAATAACCAAAAAATCAATGCTTAATAACCATAGGCCTTACAACCCATTAAATATCTGCAATATGTAGGAATTTTAYCAGTTAACAAATATAAGTTCAAAGCCAAGTTCAGAAATTACAAGGGTCATTTCTCCCTTGGAGAGTAAATCCCCTTCAGTGCGTGAGACAGGAGTCCTATTTCTGGAGAACTTCTCAGATCGCAGGGCAAAGACGACAAGATGAGGCGGGAACGACTCCTGGTGGAACGCAGAGTCAGGAACAGGGTCTGTTCATACAGCGCCTGAGGGAGAGGAGAGGCCGAGGCAAGAGCAGGGCGACTGTGGAGCTGCTGGAGAGAGTCCAGCGCAGGGCTACGAGGATGATCAGGGGCCTGGAACATCTGCCCTGTGAGCAAAGGCTGAGRGAGCTGGGTCTGWTCAGCCTGGAGAAGAGAAGGCTGAGGGGGRACCTGATCAGTGTCTACAAATACCTCGAGGGAGGCAGTGAGGAGGAGGGGGCGGCCTCTTTTCGGTGGTGGCCATAGGACTTGAGGAAATGGCCATTAACTGAAGCACCAAAAGTTCCACAGGAACTTAAGGAAAAATTTCTTAACAGTGAGGGTGACAGAGCCCCGGAACAGGCTGCCAAGAGAGGCTGTGGAGTTTCCTTCTCCRGAGGTCTTCAAAACCCACTTGGACGCAGCCCTGTGTCCCATGCTCCGGGTGACCCTGCGAGTGCAGGGTGGCTGCACTAGATGACCTCTGAGGTCCCTTCCAACCTTAAGGGTTCTGTGATTCTGTGACTGCACCAGACTCGTCCAAGACAAGAGACAAATCCAAAAGGAGACACAATTCCAATGGAAAATACCTGATGTTCGCCTCGGGACACAGGAGGAAAATCATCCCCTTGAAAATCCGCACTGTCGTCTCAGGGRGATTTTTATTTTCACATGGTGGACGAAAAGAGCCCAAAGTATGGCTAGATTTTACCATTATTTTTATAATCCAGCCATGATTTATAATGGCAACCTGCCAATGAAAATTTGAAGGCAGAATTATACCTGGGTTTGCTCTCTAACAAAACAAACAGGAGGAATTACACTTGGGTACTTTCTAAGGAAGAGGAGGTTTGTGCTGTCTAACCAAGACCTCTTCCCTGAAAAGGATGACAGGAAACCTATTTTTTTAGATGTTTTAAGTTCTCCACAGAAAAATGATCCTCCAGCTTTTTCAGTATGGCTTGGGGGAGCATATCCAGAAATTTCTGCCTGTTCAGGACCCGGTCTGCCAAATTTTAAAAGGCTCCCACTCATGTCAAAATTGGATTATTGAAATTGCCAGGTATTTGCTGAGTTCGTGTTCTAGAAATGCAGCCTCTAACACCTGCTTTGCATTAAAAAAATAAATAAAAAAAAAAGATAAAACCCCTGATCTTACCCAAAACTTTAATTGGATAGATGGAAACAAGCAAAAAGTTACCATCTTGTGACTTACAACAGGAAAAGTTGACCTGGTGCCTTTAAGCCAATGCTGCAGGAACCTTTGCACTAACCAAAGTCAAAGGAAGGAAAGCAGAAAAGGAAAYGGCCATTTAAATTCAGCTTGATGATGAAATCCAAATGTCCACTTTCAAAAAAGGAACTGACTTCTGTATGAGGACACAAATATGAAACGCTGTGCTTTCAAGCCGGGACCTGTGCACACTGCTAGTTCTTTAAATGAAAGATTGGAAGTTTATATTCCTAAGTATGTGACAGAAAGGCCTGCAATCTTTTCAACAGCAGCTTGTGTATTTTTCATAGGAAAAAAAAATCAATTATGCTTAATCATAAAGTTCAGCTATTTTTAAAGCTATTTGTGTATATTGTATTCAGCAGGAGAGACCGAGACCTGTATGTTGGCAGAGAAGGTGCAGAATCCTTCTATAAAGCACTGCACTTGTGATGCAAACTCTTTCGTGTGGGAGAAGGTGCAGCCTGGTTTTAAGCAAGTGCTTTAGGATTAGAGCAGGGTTTTTAACTGAACATTAAACTGAAGCCATGGTTTTGGTAGGTGCACTAAGCARTGACACATCTGTGAGGAAAGATGAGTGGTTTGGAGGCTCCTGGAGCAGGGGCCGGGCTCCGGCTGCCTGTGCATGATCGATTCGTTCACTCAAATCACTCATATTTAGCGGTTTGTTAGGTGTTGTTTGCAAAGGGGGGGTTATTTATCTCTGTCTGGAGGAAATGCAATCATCTCCAAAGGCAAAGGCTAGGAGTGGCTTTTTGTTTCGTTTTGCCTTTTTTTGCGTGCAGCATCTATGTATAGTTGTTCTCCCTTCAACAGTGCAAATGTGGTGCCAAGGGCATTCCCACTTCCCGTTGTAAGGGCGGGACTGAGGAGCAGGGCCTCTCCAAGAGGCAGGTCTTGGTTACAAGCTCAMAGCATCGCATTGTAACGTACAGACCTTGTCACTGTTCCTGTGCTCCGTGGCTAGACATACACTGTGCYTACTAAATACTATTAAATGCATTGAATAGAGCATCTAAGGCCACAACCAGCACCACTGAAATGTCCAGAAAATTTGTCACTGGCATCTCTGAGTGCACGGTGAAATGCCCAGACTCTTGGTCAGCAGGTATTTAAATCCACATATATAATGTATTTTATTTGCAGCTATTCATGTTCTCAAGTCCTTCTCTGATCTGGAACAAAACCACTCTGGGTGCCAGGTTGAGAAGTTGCTGTCAGATCCACCTCTCTCCTACCAACATCCAGAGGGAAGAGTAAGAATAGAGAATTCCACTGTTTCCACTGTTTTGCTCTGAGAGGGAATGAAGAGAAATAAGAGATAAGAGGAGAGAAACCAGGAACAAAACTACAGAAGGAGGAGAGCTTCCACCCCTGTAATTACTTCTCAGGGGAGATAAAGCATATAAACAGCAGCCTTTAAACTTCATTACGTGTCTGTAGCACCAGTAAAACCCAGGCCTTCCTGGGGCTTGCCTACACTGGAAAAATACATTATATGAGTTGAATAGCGCGTAATTCTCAATATAACAGTCAATATAAACAAAGACTACTATGTTTAACATTGGTTGTTGTTGTTGACCCAAGGTAACCCAGGAGCTAAACATGACAGTTCTTGTCTACACTAACTGCTTTGCATGGCCTTAATTAGCATGTTCTAGCACTATGTAATTTTGCAGCTCAGATAAAATCCTCCAGGGCATTTATTCTCTACATTTAATTTTCTGTCTCACCTATGTTTAATTCACAAGACACACGTTGTCTCCACCATCTCCGTCCGCTACCCTCAGCCTTGGAGCCGTCGCTGATGAAAGTCAGAGAGACTTGGTCAGCTGTTGCATGAGATTTTTAAACTTAAAGAATTTAATGTTCAATAGAACATACCAGGAGTTTTTGCTTCCTGATCATATTCAGTCATATAAAGTTGATCTCGTAATTCAGGAAACACAAAATCATTGAGATTGGAAAAGACCTTCAAGATCAACGTTAAACCCTTCAGGCCCTACTAAACCAAGCCCCTAGGTGCCTCATCTACCCCCTTCTTTACCACTGCCAGGGACAGGGACTCCAGCACTTCCCTGGGCAGCCCGTTCCAATGCTTCACCACTCTTTCCTTGTAGGAATTCTTCCTCATGTCTAACCTGAACCTCTCCTGCTGTGAGTTGAGGCCATCTTCTCTTGTCCTGTGGGGAGTTATTCTGGACATCGACCCCTGCCTCACTATGAGGAAGGGCTCGTTCAGCCCAGAAAATCTTAAAACACAGGACATTTGAAGTTCATACAAAAATATTTTGAATCGTAACATCTGGGCAGTTTTTCACTCAAATCACATTTGTCAAGCTGATTCCCATCTGAAAAAAAGACAGTTTTGTAGCTTGTTACAAACTACACTTATTATTTTACATGAAAAATGTTTGTTTGTCCTTACAAAACAAAACGCAGTGTACGTAAAGCTGTTGTTAGACCCCGACAAGAAGCGGCCGTTACCGCTCGCGCTCGCCGCCCCCCCCCGGCGCAGGGAGCCC